TTATTTATTGCAACATGAAATGTCTTACTACATTTCCAACAGTAAATAACATTATCAATAGGTACTAGAATAGTAAATAGTATAATTAGACAAATGAGGGAAATGATATCAAACAAACGGAAGTGAAAATATTTGATTCACGTATAAAATCAGGTGATTGCTATGTTTACCGCTGTGTGTTATAGCAAATTGAAAAAAAAAACAACTATTAATTATCAATTACCAAGTATTTTCGAAATACATATTTTTTCTTTTGTCATGATATTTGTTAATTTTTTAATTTAGTTGTAAGGCATTTAAATATAATTAAATTGTGTAGGTATATATATTATCAGAATTTTACATGTTAAAATAACTTTCAGGGCACGCCATTGGCAGCCTTTTGCATACCCTATAAAAGAGACCACCGCACGCATTTGATACAACATATACCTACCGTATAATGGGTGTGACGATGGCCAAAGTTGATTACAGAGGAAGTTAAGTAAATTTAAGTAAATATGTTTTTCGATACTACAATAGTTTTAACTTTTTTAATGACCTGCATTATTGATACATTAATACAGATACCTATTAAAATTAATAATTATTTTATTTTCACGGCAATATGCCTTCGTTATCTCGAAAATGCGTTTTATCATACAATTGTTTTTAACTATTCAGATGTAGACATATGAATACAATAATACATAATGCTATAATCTATGGGTATTTATACGTCTACTAAATTGTTAATGATATTATCTAGTTATTATTAATTTAACCTAACGCCATATAATTTAAATCAGCTGTGTAAGTGTAAAATTCAAATCCGCAAAATAAGTAGTAATCTTTCAAGACTAACTACAGTTTTTCTGTTTAATAATAATTGTATCGGAAGTTAACGCGTAGCTCAATTTCCTCTGATGATGTTATCAAGATTACATAAAACCTACTATGTACAACATTTCAAGAAATGTACGGATAGCTGTCAGTGGACGAATTTAAATTTAATTATTTATATACCTACGTCTTTTTGATTTAGAACRACACATTCAATTCCATAAAGTTATTAAATCAGAATGTACCAGTACAAATTTATTTAAAATTAACTTTTAAATAATATATTTGATCCATAATGAATAGATAATAAGCACCTACGCAGATTTATACACATAACACGTTTTTTATTAAACAAAATTTGTTTTTCACAACAAGTTAATTGGAAGGATTTTAGTTAAATCAATATTTTATTTTAGTAAATATATATATACATTGTTTTTAAAGTATTATTTTAATAATTTAATTTAAGCATCTTGCTAATAAATAATAAACGTATTTACCAAAATATAATAATAATAATATATTAATGTTTATGATACATATCTTCATAATTACTTGATTCTTTGATATTTTTAATAGAACGGTAGATTTTTTTAAATATAGGATCTTTGTATTTGTTGATTATGTACTAAGTATACAAATAGACCTAATATATCCACGCCAGGTTAAAACATAAAAGTTTGTTTAATTGAAGATCAAATATTTTGTGGAAAKAGAAGAAATATACAATCGTTTAAGTGGGTTTGAAAACTGTAATTATATTTAATTTTAATTATATTAATTTATTATATTTTCATAATAATAATAATTTATTAATTTGTTTTGTTTATTTGGTAGAATCTTATAGGAAAGGTAATAATAGTTTATTAATTTTCAATAAATTGAAATAATTTTTTACTAGTATTATCAATAGATTTTTGAATAGTTAAATTTTGTGTTCAGTTTTAATGTTATACATCATGATATGCAATCTTATTATTGATAAAACTTGTGAAACTAGAAAATTGAATAAAAGATTAATCAAATACTATTTGAATAAATTCTAACAAAAAAATTTAAAAATAAAATTGTTGTACCTACCTACCTAGCTGAAATTTCATGAAGTAATAATAATAACTTTAAGTATAATTTTTATTCTTTTTATAAGTTAGTTACAATTTTTGTATGGRCTTTTTTAAATATTGTAATTTATGTATTATAATTTTTAATTTCCATAAATACAATTTTTTTGTCACATTGTTTGTTATAAGTATTTGGAAACAAAAAAAAAAAAAATTATCTAGGTAATATAAACAAATTAATTGACACGTATATCACTTACTCGTTTTAGCATTTATGTTGACATGTCGTATTAGCCGAAGTTGTGTAGACACTATAGAATGCATTTTGAACGTCCATTGGGAATTTATGTTTATTAAGAGTTATACATTACCTATAGGSTATAATAAATATGATTTTAAATTTAACTTAAAATATGAGAACATCTTTATTGTAACCCAAAATTCCATAAATTATTTTTTTTATAAATACATTTGATAACAATTGACGCGAATGTGGTAGTAGAAGATTTGAGTACAGTAAAATACCTCTTTTGTTGGAAATAAAAATCGAATCTTTTACGTACATTACCCCGGTCTCCGCCAATCTGAATTTTGCAATTTTTTTTTACATTAATAATTAGTACTTAATTGCTGTGAATTCATGATCACCTTTTTATAATTCCTGCTCTTATAGTTTTCCCGGAAAATTGATTTTTGCTGGGTGGTTACCCCAGTACCACCCACTAACTAATTTAACTTTTTGCAATTATTTTGCACCAATAATTAGTACTCAATTCCTGTGAATTCAAAACATTTGATGACAACGTAGTACAGAAAAAAAATAGAAGTAGGTGAAGTATGACTAATAATTCAAACGATGTTATAGGTTTTTTTTATTTTCAATAAAATTAAAAATCTGTGATAGCTGATATTTTATGATTTATGTTTCAAAATAATGTGGTTTAATTTGTTTTTATACTGTTTTATTATTAATTTTTATATACGTAAAATAAAAAAAATACCAAGGAGAGATTGCTTCTTTGCCATTTTATTATAAAATTGCATCATTAAATAAATCTGTAATAGGCACTACTAAAAAAAGGACGTAACACGTTTGGGCACAAAACAATATTTTTACCTGGGTTTTGAGAGAATGATGATTGGGAACATAGGATTAGGTACACATTTTTTCAGTCCTCAAAAATTTACACAACCTTTGGGTACATTATATTTTTAAAATAACACCACTATTGGGTACCAACGTTGAGTACTATACATTTATTTTATTTTCTAACAAAATTTGGACCAATGTCATATAGATAATTTCATATATTATTATCAATTTTAAACTCGTTATATTTTTTTATAAAATATTTAAAATAAATCTTAATTAAGATTTTAATATAAATAACAAGTACTAGATTTATAAATATTCGTAGTCACTTATACTATACGATAATAATCATATAAGAATCAACATAATATAATTGATATTAATTGGTTTGTAGATAAATTATCGAGCAATAAATACCATTTTTGTAGATCACGCTTATATTATGATGTGCTCCCAAACATATCTCATATTATATGTGTGCGCGAACGTTCTCTGATTTACCTGCAGGTAAAATTATAAAATACCTTTTTATTCCATGTGACCAGACGTATTTGTACCCAAACGTGTTTGATTTTGGGGCAATGTGCCCAAACGTTTTGTGCCATAAAAATTAATAAAAATGTTCGTGAATATTTATTAGTATCCGTGCAATCTATTGTACATTCATGACAGATCAATTAAAAACAGGGATACTTAAATACGGGTACTTGCTTCAGGAACATCTCAAATATACCACTCATATATTGCTGCACAATGCCAGTGTATACTAGTTGCCTCCTAAAATATATGAATTGCCTCTTAGTTTTATCGTAAATAAAAAGGTTAATATATTAAAATATTATACAGTATAAGTTATAACTATCACCCTAATTTTTTTATCTAATAAATGTTTTATAAATTTTAAGTTTATATTATGTATAATAATATTACACTTGTTTAAAATGTACAAAAGGTATCTATAAATTTGTTGGTATTTTATTTTTTAATTAAACTTGCTCTTATAAAATCTATACATACAACTAATATTTAAGGTATATTCATGTTAAAAAATTAATTGTCATTTTAGAGGTGCCAGGATTTAGATCTCTATCAGGGAAAAAAATATGTTGTGGCCTGGGTATAATCGCCATAAAATTGACATAACATATTTGTATTATACTTCAAAATTACAAACTTATTTTGATACGTATTTGGAACCACTTATGCATTTATTATCTGTTCATTTTAAGGTAACTAATACTAGGCCCTTTTTTGTTTTTCTAGGTGTCAACTCATATATAGTCGGGAGGCAATTCATATAAAAATAAATGACCTTTTGAACTTCAGGAGACAACTAGTATGCGCCCCACAATGCACATTACAATATAACATTGAACAATGTATTTCTTTATGGTTTAACTTTTTACATAACATTATTATATTTCATGTTATACTAATAAGTAATCAAATAGACTATTTTAGGAAAAATATTAGATTTGTTGCTCTAACTTTGGAAGTATTTATAATTTAGTTACTTATAATAACTATTAGTGGTTAAAACTGTTAGAAGGATATAGTAGTTGTTCAGGATAATATTAAAGATACCAAAATATAACAAAATATGATAAATATTAATATGATTATATTAATAAATTAAATCTACAATAATGAGTAAAAATAATAGTAATTAATTATCGAAAATAAAATATTATAAAACTATGTGTATTTTTATGCTTAAATCTAAGGAAATAATTCGTACTAAAAACGGAAACAAAACAATTCGGTAGCCTATCGTGATGAGCAACAACGTAGGAAATTCATAATTAACGACTGTTATGGTTATAGGCCAATAGTCCACAGTCTATTATATTTCAGTATATTTTAATGTATAATCGTTTGTGTATGAAACTTATAAATGTCATGTGGTGATCGAGAAACATAATATAATATTGTCTCCCCATAGACACCGTTCTCAACACTAATGACGTATGGTTTTATTATAATAGGCATTCAAGTAATAAATTATTGTAATTTTTAAATTGTTATTAAGCTTCAATACGAGAAATGTCTGGTGCCGGCACGCTGTGGCTCGGAGTGAATATTTCTTTTAAATTGTAGTAGGCTCCACCGGTCAGTGCGAAAAATGCCAATATGACATAAATAGAATTTTTCACATGGCGTAAGGTTCTGCGGATGGCCATTTTTCGTCTGGCTTTATCAGTCTTTGCAACCTTTGACATCAGCACCGCCGCTGAAGCTAATCCATTTCCATCTTCCACTGTTTCACCATCGCAGTTTGTCCCTTGTAGGGTTTCTTCGAAGTCATTCTCGCTTTTTGGGTCCCAATACCACGCGGTTTCCATTGCTACAGGTATTATGATACCAAGTACTGAAAAACCGACTGAGCCGACCAGAGAAATCATTGGCCCGACGTCGGGTACAATAGTCGCGATAATTACTGCAATCAAAAACGAAACCATAAAACATCCATTAATAATTTATCAATCAACTTGTCACGATTGATTGTACAGATATATTTCGAATAATAGACAGGAAACAATGTACTCCGAAGTCAGTGGTGTACCCAAGGGATAGTTTAGATTTTTATCCCTCTATTACTTTTTCCATTCTAATAAATATATTTTTTATGTAACTATTATATACGAATGCTGAAAAAAGTTTAGTTTAGCTTATACTTAACACCCTATTCATTTATAATCAATAATCAATGATTATTAATCATGACCACACAACTGCTTCGAGTCCTCAAGTATTAAGTCCATTTACATTTGTATATGTAACTATCAGAGATGTTGCCAGGGGAGGTCATGGGGTCCAACCCCACTCCCCTCAAAAAAATAAAATAAAATAAAATTCTGGCTACGTCTCTTACCTATACTAGATAATATTATTATGTCTTGTGTATACGCTTACCGGTACCGACAATTAGGATAAACCTCATTATATAATAATCAAGATTGAAATTTTTTTCTTTTTCCTGTTTTTTCGATCCAATTCTATGAAAAACTTTTGGCTCTGTCCTTCTTTTAAGCCATTGCCCCACAAGATCCGCAGTGACAGTCAGCTGAAGTCCGTATGTCATGAGAATTCCCAAAGTCACAACAATTTTTACAGCCTCTGAAAGTCTAAACAAACACGAAATTGATAGTTACAATATAATAAATAATAACTTGTCATTACCAGGCTTATCGTATAGGTAATATATATGCAAAATATTATGCCAACCTATTATCTGAAGGTAAGTTGAGTGGCACGCTGCCCAGACACCGATCACCGTAACGTACATATCCGAAGAATCCCAAAGCCCCGTTGAGTATCACGATGATAAGCATAGACCAATGTAGCGTGTAAGTTGGTGGGCCAATAAGTTGGCGAGGTTTCTTCATTGAGTTTTCGACGTGCATGAGCTTTATTCGTGGCAGGTGCATAGGTTGGAAAATGACGAGAGATGGACGGAGGAGTGACATATTCAACAAGACAACAAAATTTAGTCTTAAGGTTATTGAAAGCTAGTCGTTGATTGTGCATTTGCATTAATAATTGGGAGGAAAATAAACATGCTTCCAAAAGTTCAATTTTAATTTTGAAAATATACATAAATTTGTTCGTTTCTTTTGTGTTTTGCAGGAAGTAATTTTTTATTTTAGTAACACTTGAGTAAAAATATATTATATTATTTACGTATTAAACAATACAATAAATCAAAAATCAATTTCTTACTTAACCAAGAAAAGAGCATAAATAATTAAAATTTGTTTTCAAAATTAAAATTGGGCTTTTAGTACTGGTTGAACCTTGTTTGGATTTTCATGTTGAAAATGTTTTGATCACAATATATAGTGACATGTGTTTGCGCGTATATACGTTACAGATTTCCAAGAATCTTAGCCGTAGTACATTATCTTTAATTAAATAAAGTGTTCGGGGAACTCACGCACACTCATAATTAGTCAGTTTAATATATCACAGTCACGCATTACTCGGATATAAAATATTGCCTAAATCCAACTCCTTAAGAATGGTTTACTTTAATCAGTCTTAAATGATATGGTAAATAGGCAGTGATGCTTTATTTAAGGGGCCGAGGGAGCAGAATCTCTTATATAAAAAAAATTATTTTATTTTATTTTACACCTGGATATACCGTACCCATTTTGAATATATTATAATCAACAAATATTCAGGTACCTACGCATTTATGATATAAATATTATATTATAAATTATACACTTTTGAAACTCCTTTATAATTTTTTTTTGCCAAATCAAGCACTGCCTATAGGTATAGTATAATATGTATGTATATGTATGTATATGTATATATATACCGGGTGATTCTTTTATCATTTAACACTCATTATTTTAAAAAGTATCAATGTTTTTGAAAATATTTTTTTACAGAGTTTCATATTGTTAAAGAAACAACATTTTTATTAAAAAATTATATTTTTAATAAAAACGTTGGTTTTTTAACAACTTGAAACTATGTAAAAAAAATATTTTGAAAAAAGTAAATACTGTTTTAAATAATGAGTGTTCAATGATAAAAGAATCATCCTGTATATATATATAATACATAAAAGTAATATGTGTGTTATTATATATTATTCCTATGCTATTGCATGTATTAGATTTGAGGAAAAGATATTTTGTATTATTGTAATATATATAATATATATTTAAAATGTGTTATTTTACTATAATCAATATTTAATCATGGTTATAAAATAAAGTTACCTGTATTAATGTATTCGATGGCATAAACTATAATTTGTATTGCTTAAAATATTTCATTTAGGTATTAGTTATTATTGTGTTGAATAGAATTATACYCAATTATAATAGTAATACATCGCAAAGTGAACGGATTTACCCTTTTAACTATAACTACACATAGTCGGAATATTATGTAGTTTTAGTTAACTAATTTTTATTGTAATGATATATGTGTATGTATAATATGCATAAAAATATAGCTGATTTTTTAAAAATCATATTGTAATGTATAATATGATAAACATATATTTATAAATATATAATTGTACCTACTTATAAATTAAGTTTGGATTTGTTTTATATTTTAATAAAATTAATGGACCTCACATATTTTATTTTTCGAGTCAAAATAATGTATCATTGAAATATTCGTTCTACGATCCTGACCCTAAAATCTACTACCTGTAAGTCAGTGGAATGTACATTCCTTAAAAGAACAACATACCTACATATTATCGAATACCAGAGATTTATAATCTCCCCTTCCAAACACGGACGCATGGATGTTTTATGATATAATAATAGCCACTGACGAATTTACAACAACCCCTGCTGAGTAATATGTATAACTCTAACTGCGTTTATGTACATACCATATTCTTTCAACACGTTTTTTTTTCAAATAGTGTAGTCATTTATATAACAATGTTGTAACTTTGTAGGTACGAGAAAAAAAATAAACATGTGTCTTTAATATAGTTTTGACTGTTCTTAGACTCAAGTATATTTTGTCTGCTTACCTTCTAAATGCAAAATGAAACCTATTTATAAAACGCATAATATTATGAACAATATTTGAATACTTCAATAATGTACTGGTAACCAAAAATAAATCTAAACGGAATGATGTATTAACGCATATTATTTTGTCTTTTTTTTATCTTGTTTTGTCGTGTCATTTATATTATGAACTTAGGCTTCCACGATAAAAAAAAATATTTGAAAAATAAACAATGCTCACCATTCCAACGCCCTCCATTGAACACAGAGCACTTCCGGCAAACAGCGACCAGCGAGTAATTGGCCATACTACCAATTTTGAACGTTCTTCGGGGCGGAGAGGGTCACGTCCTCCATCGTCAGTGAAAATGAAGTAAAACAACACTGCAGCACTTGCCGAAATGAGCACGTTTGCAATAATGGAAAATGGTACCAATAATTTGATAATTCGTATCATTCCCATGGGAATGATCAATAGAGCTACAAACAAGGGGTACCAGCGGATGTTCAAATCGTGAAATGTGTAGCTCCAAGTGCCCACTTCTGCACCCGTAGTGTAAAGGTCGACGAGCTGTAATGGAAAAGGTGGATGCTGAATAATCTGCCATTATAATATACGTATTATGGAACCGTACAATGGCTGTAAATAAATATAAAACGTTTACACGGCAGTGCGTTTAACGAGTCTCCTTATCTGTTTGTAGAATATTAAGATGAGATTTGATTAAAATTGTTTCACTTAGTATTTACGATCTACCATAATAGTTCTAAAACAGTAATGCGTTTAATTTCTAGCATTAATCCTTATAGGTGATAACAGTGTATTAAAATAGATTTTAGTTGTGAACTTTTCGTGATTTATATAAATACGAGCCAAATTATAATGAAGTAGGTATAGTTAGGAACTTAATTTATGTAAATGTTTTGAGGTCTGAATTATTTTTTATGTGTTTTGATATAATATTATAAGCGATGGAAAACCTGCCTATATTTAGTACACTGTGCAGTATGAAATGCACACTAAGAAAAATGTGGTGAGGTGCCATATATCTAATAAAAATAAACATGTTAGTTACTAGATTTTATGTTTAATTAACTATCCGGCATGTACCTATATTATTATGCTGGTTTGTCTAAATCGTACCTGCTTAGTGGTGCTCGCCACGACGCACACGTAGATGATGTTGACTCCGTAATAAGTTACGATCAATGATATAGTGGTGAACTTACTGATGATAGTATTTGGAGTTATGGTAGTGAAGTAGTCAAACAAACATACAAACAAACAAAATATTTTATGGTTAATAATACATTGGTGAGTATGTAATTTAGTTCAGAAGTCTATACTATTGCAATATAGAAAGTGTAGGAGTCGCGAATTAATGCAAATGGCTCAAAATCCCAAAAATCAAAAGGATCTCAGCTATATATTTTATTATATTCTCGGGAGGTTCGAGAATCATAGGTATGCATGATATATGAGGTATCTATGTATCTACTTCGACCTTTATTTATGATCAAAGATATTTATACCACGATATTATTTTCATCCGAATACATATTTGATATGATAATTATATTTAAATCCATTACATTACATTATAATATATGCAATGTTTATAGGTAAATACTTGTGTATATAATTCGAAATTTTCGTATCATTGTAATAAGATATATTAGTATGTCACTCATTGCAATCGACTATAGTTAAGAGTAGGTATAAATTAAAATGATATGTAAATACGATTTATTACAAGAATATATGGAATGGTTATCGAAGGGTATTATGATTTGTTTATTTTATATACGTACTTGATAAGTTTGGTCCATGATGCGAAGCGGCCTCCAGAGCCGTATTTAAACACTAACCCCACTGTTTCCGGGAAGTCCAATGGTTCCAACACTAGTTCATTGCTTTTAATATCGATTGGCTCTTGGTTATGTTCTTCTTCAGCCACATCATTATCTACATTCTGATCTGTCAAAATCATAATGGCATATTTGGGGGTTCGCAATACCTGTGATGCCCGAACCTAAACATATGCATTATTGAGTATTCCCAGTAAAGTAACATAATTATTATTTATTAATTTAATAATAATTGTGTGGTTTATTACATTTGAAGTCAAAGCTGGACAAGATCAATCGTGTTTACTTAACGAAGAAAAAGTTTTAAGCTTAATGAAATTCAAAAAAAAAAAAAGAATGAATTGCATTTTTTTTTAAAGACAATACATTTAACTTTGACAATATTTTACTAGTTTAGTAATACTTAAACTCAATTTAAATGGATATCTTATTAATTTAACCACAACTTCTCAAGGTTTTTAATATAATAATATGTAAATGTTATATACTAATATTAATATACTATACACATATCAAATATTATATTAATTATATTAAAAAATCTTTATTATTTTATTTATTTTATATATATTTTATAAAAATATATAACTTGATGTAATTTAAAACCAACTTGTTATTTATTCAAGCTAATGGCTGTAATAGAAGTTAATAGATAGGTTCAGTTAAAATTATAAGTAGGTATATTAAAATAAACTAAATTACTAAGTTCAGAAATTCAAATAAAACATTAACTTGTTATGGTTAATAATTTCTTAAAATGAATTGAAATTGTGTCCACCGTATTGTGATAATAGATGAAAGATGCTCTTACGTTTAAAAACTATCAATATTTTTCTCAAAATTTATTAAAATTTAAGGGATTTTATTTTACTTTTATTATTTTACATGTTTTTTTTTGTAAATTATTGGTATCTATGTTATAATAATATAAAAAATAAAAAATCATATGTAATTATTCATGAACGATTTGTTGTTAATAAATAACAAAGGTATAATAATCAATGTTTCCCTGTTAAATAAAAAAGAAGTATTATTACTATAAATCATATTGTAAACATATTGTATACTTAAATATAAACAATAACCATAATAATATATTATATACATTATACAACCATAAATATTATTAACTGGGTAATAATATTATAATTCATTTACATATTAAAGAATTACATATTTTAATTAAAATATATTAATATTGACCAGTTTAGTCAGCTGATATATCAAAAATTCCATGAAGTACCTACGGGATGCTGTATGATATCTAAATGTATCAGTGACTGGGTGGAGGTAGAATATAGTGATATAATTTTATGCCTCATTCAAATTTCTATGACGAGTGTATGTATCTTCCTGAGTTTAATTTATGGAAAACTACATCGATTGGCTTATTATAATATTTTGAACGTGGACACTGTACACGCGAGCAATAAAAAAAAATATGTAGACATTATGAAATTTTTTAATGTCTATGCCAAACGGTGAATTTAATTAATGTAATAATAGCTAATCTATCCTAACCATGKTGATTAGTCTATACAGATATCTTGCTTAGTCCAAATTCAAAAATGTCGTACAATAAATTAGTTACATTTTATAAATAAAAATCTCTATACTCACAATAAAAGACATCATATTTAGAACCGAAATTCCTAATATCATGGTGCCTATTGAACCCACCAACAGTCCAGCATTGCTAAAAGCCTCAGGCATGGCTAAGAACCCACCGCCAATGGTTGACTTAATGATATGCATCATGGCCTCCAAGTTTCTGTATGCAGCGGGTGAACGAGTGTAGTGGCGGATGCAGTTAGTGGTCGGAAACCGGAAATAAAACACGGTGATATAAAATATATGCATTTGGTTATTTTGATTAATTTCTTTAATTTTATTACTTAACCAAATAAACGAGTATTGATTTATAATAAATTAGTATAGTTTCTTACGAGATTCTATCATCCTTCTCATTCGGAATGTTGGCGGCTTCTTGCACTTCTATGGTGGCACCATCTTCGGTAGTGCCCGTTGATTTGGTTTTCATTTTCTTATTAATTACTGCATTCCACATTTTCGCAAACTTTATAATATATAATGCTAAATCAGCCAATAGTGTTAATCAAACCGAATGCGATTATTATGTTATTTTCTGTAAAATAATTATTAATTGTAGTTTTATGTATTATATATAATAATATAGGTAGAAAAGAAATATGCATTTTTAACTTGTCTAAATTTATTAATTTCTTTATTTTTTAAAGAAGAATTACTTAAATTAAAATGCATGAAATATTTTCATTTTAATAATATAGTCTAATGAGACACATTGAATATGACCAAATGAAAACCCATTAAAACTGAACCAGACATATTACTGTTAATAATTCAATAAATAAAAAATATATTATGAAAAATATTCCTGTTATATTATTTCTTAAGCTAACAAATAAATAACCTGAAACATAAATTAAGAAATAAGAATTTATTGTAAATATTAGGTATAATTAAAAACATTAAATACCTCCACTAAAATCTATCAATAACAAAAATATGTGTAAGTAAGTAAAAATTATAAACGATTCCTATTTAACGAAAATAATTTCACGATAATAGTCACCAACAACTATTAAATCAAGAAAAGACTTATCTAGTAAGAATGTGCTTTGTTTACTCGACGCTTATAGTAAAATACCATGCATATCATGAAATATATTTCATAAATTTATAAAATTGGACACACACATTTCTCTTCCGCAGTTTTAAGAAAAATGTGCAATTGGGTTAAAAATTAAAATAAATAGTATAGCTGTACTAAAATTAATAAACTTAAACATTATTAAATTATAATTTATTTTGTTAATAAGTTAAAAGATTTGAATGTATAAAATTATAATAAAATTAATGAAATCTTTTTTGTCTTAAAGTATGATATAATTGTATTTTCTATTGATGTGAAATTAAGTAGTCAATATTTTTAATTATTAATACTTCATTTTTATTTTTTATAATCCATTTATCAAGAAAATATTCTAAATAGTAATATAATCAAAAAAGCATTTTTTATTGATATAAAATTGAGTCTTATATAATATTTTTCATATTATAACTATGAGTATAAAATATATTGTTTTTTAAGAAATTCTCATAGAACATTTCATGCAAATTTTATGAATTATAATAACGCTTTGAGTATCAATTAAATGCACAGATGCCGTATTTTGTGCCTAAACTAAATTATATATAAAAAACAATTTCTGGTTAAAATTACGGCTTTAGAAACACTGAATAGGTCAAAGAGAAATTATAAAATCATTATTGGAATTCGTAATTATATTACGTGAATAATAATTATAAAGAAAAAATGATTTATATACATATATTATGCACATAATTTTAGATTGAGAATGTGAAAATCCGATAGTGATTGAACGAATGCAACGAAAATTCTAAAACGTCTTAGAATAAAATGTCATCATATATTTATTTATATAATACATCATACAATCAGAACTAAAATAAGTGGCTGACGAATAAAAATATCATGTAGGTTAGGATATAAATTATTCATAAGCATTGATAGTTAAGGTGTGATACTTGGATGATCCAACATTTTGTTGGTTATCCCCTATCAGTCCATTCATCACTTACTTCAACTCAAAATAATTAACAAGTAATAAGTCATTGATTCGATATTTGAAAAACCTTCGACAAAATTCTCAGAAAACATTATGTTTTAATATACCACAAAAAATAAATAGGTTGTGGCAAAAAAGGTCAGGACACAACGATAAACTGACTAAATAACGATTCGATAAAAAATTACAACCAGGAACGTCCAAAAACGATAATTATAGTCTTGTTTCAACGCGTAAGACATAAATAATAATAACTGAATGGATCAGATAGTTGGTCAATGCCCAAATATTTATGAACAGAAAGAACAAAATAAATATAAATTACTTTATACTAAATTGCTGAATCCGCGAAAAAAGTGATCGGTGAGTATACACATTACACAGTAATAATAATAATAATAATAATAGGTAATTATAATAATACGTTTATTGTAATTTGTAATATACTCACAGTGATACGCACAGCAGCAGGTACAATAATGTACAATGGCGCGTGATCGTGGAACAGGTTTTTGGCGGTGAAAACACAGTGTAGCAGTTGGACGCGCTCTACGATGTGGTAAATGCAACTGCAACTCTTGGCTGACGGGTGGACGACAACTGGTGCTGGGCGGCTCTACAGAAGAATCCGTTACAACAATTATTTTATATAAATGCTGAGTCGGCTCTATCTCACCGGTGTACACCGTGCTGCTTTAATGTCTCAATGCACACTGAAAGGGACGGATCAGTGGACACGGTTATATAAGCGCGTCGCGGACGCCGAGGAGATGGTGTGGATCTCCGTCGAATTATTTGACTAAATGCGTATTATGCGTGCGTGAGTGCGTGAGTGCGTGAGTGCGTATGCGTGTGCGTTTTCCCTCTGCGGTCCGGTGGTGCTGCACATGACCCGCTGGAGGGGAGCGATAGAGCGGTGCAGTGTAGGGTGGTGTTTGGGTGGACGATTCGGGAGGGAGAGGGGGGAAGGGGACATCCGAAACGTTTCGAACATCTAACAAAATAACAATAGGTATACAACATTCTACCAAAATATTTTATTATATGCCTCTACTAGCATTCACTATACGTATAATAATTTATATAAACACGCCTCCGGATGATGCACACAAAATTTTTTACCGCACACTGACTGGCTCAACAAAGTTATGCGTAGGTACCGATGTTGTGTCGTTGGTGTGGTTGGTTGTGAGAGGGGAGGGGTTTTGAGGGGATGCGTCCACCATTGTAACGCTGAGCAGGTCGCGTATTATACGAAATGTATTATTATATTATATACTTCTAAATTATAGTAGCACTGTATTGCATTGCTATTATGTTACAGAATACTGTGTTGCTGTCAAGTAAAATATTATTAATATGCAGTACTGCAGTAAGAGAGGCTGTATTATTATTATTAAGGGTATCTGTCTTAATAATACATTATAATTATTATTTATGACGTGAAAAAAGTAATAAGATTATATTATATAGGATAAAAATTAAAAACATATTTACGTATGGGAATTGGATCGTTCTCGTTGACGAAAAATATTATTTCGAAAATGATTTAAAATTTACGATAAAGAAGCATATTTGATATTTTATGTATAATTTAGGCACATTTAAAAATAACAAGTCTGACTTTTTGACATATAATATATCATATTACGTACCTAATAATATTTCAATCTGCTGTACGTATACAAATAAAAATTATACTTTTGGTCACCACGAAGGAGATTGTCTAGCCACACAAACGATATACAACAACATTATATAAAATTTCGAGATACGTTTTTTATTAAAACATTGATTTTGGCCATAGGTTTAGTTTTACCGTCAGACTTGTCAATTCAGCGTTATCATTACTCACTAGTATTAATTTTAGTGATTACTAATGAGTGAATTAGTTTTTTCTTAGAGACGTCCGTACGCCGTAATAAGGCGTGAGCATTTTTTCGATAATATATGTTAAATTTTATTTTTTCATAATAGGGTATACCCATAATGGGTAGTGATTTAAAAATTCCTGAAATCAACCGATTTCAAAAAATATTATTTTCTCGTCGATTTTTGTATTAAAGGAAGTATCTAAAAATTAAGTAATGACCTACAATAATCGAAACACAAAAACCTGATTTTAGTGTAATACTACTATTTTAGTAGGGCGAGGCACGTGTGCTTACAGATTGAAACAACTAATAATATTATAGTGCAACGCCCTCTCATTAGTGTTAAAAAAACAACAAATACATATTCATAGGCAATACATTCAAATCAAAATACATAAACACATTATTATTTTGTTTTTATAAATCTAACTAGCAACTTATCATAAAGCATATTACACCAATTATTACTTTAATATTATAGAGTCTTATAGTTTTTTATTTAAAGGTAACTAATTATTTCTTTATGTCTAAAATCATCAGACCTTTATCACCATTGTTTCTACATCCTGTATCGATAAAAAAAATTATTAATTTTTATAAACTATAATAACCATTTGTGTTATAATATTTTTTGTTTCTATTATACCCTATAGAAGATTTCTTATTATATTATACGTTAAAATTCTGAGATGCAGACGATTTTTCAAGAACAATAACCCAAAAGACATTAATATCATCTTTCTTGAAGAATATGATACATACCTACCTAAGTATAGTTAATTGGAATTTTAAAATAATCGTTTTTGATTATTTTTGTGACAAACATGTGTAAAACCGAAAATCAAAATATTTTTTCAGTTTATATATTAACTTATTATGTTATAGATCACCTTTGAATCTAGGTAGAAATAACATTGTAACGAAATCAACTATATCAATTATAATGACTTCAAAAATATGTCTACGAATTAGGTATTGCATGCGTCTATTAACTATGGTTTACAAATTTTATTAGAATACATAGTTCATATTTGGGTTTGAATCTGTGTAAAATTGTTATAAAATAAACAAACAACCATGATGATAAATCTGATAGTATCAAATGAAGTAAATTAAGTGTATGTGAATGTTGACAAGTTTTTTAATCTATGAGTTTAAATATTTATTCATTACAAATTTATTCAATTGCCAGTGTTTATTTTAAAACAGACAACAAAGAATACAATTATAAATACTACATAATCTAATATAAATAATTATTCAATCATTAATAATATCTTTACTGCGCAATAAATTAATTCAAACTAGATTTTTAAGCCGTCATTTATCTTTTGTTTTTGTTTAAAGATACCGTATACAATGTTAAAACATAATAGCCAATCATATTAAAATATATATATTAAAATAATAAACATAATATATTGATAAAGATTTAAAAAATTAAATAAAAAGTTTGAATCATATAAATTACAAAAATCTTGGAAGTTTTTCGAGTGTGTCCTGAAGTGGCCGTTATTTTATGTTTGAAATGCGTACAGAAAAAGGTATCCCAGTGCGTCCTAAAAAAAAAATCATACTCCCCATGCGTCCCAAAAAAAGATATGTACTAACGAGTGTCTCGCTGTCTGTTCATAGTTACACTGTTACAAAAGCTTCTCTATGGGAATTTATTTCGTCGCCCGTCAGTTTAAAAGCTATCATATTTACTGTGAGTGATACTTTTATAGTAAGTGACAAAGTCTTTACCGATATTATTTCAAAACATATTATTAATGATAAAACTGTGTGCTGTAAACGGAAGTTATCAAAAATGACGTGTAAAGCGTCAAAATTCTATATAGGCGCTTTTCTTATTAAATAAGTGAGTCGTAAGCAACGGAATAATTGTTGTTTTAAAAGCTATAAAATATTTAATATTAACGTAAACAGTTCTCTAGAAATTTTATTATTGAGTATGTTGTAGTAGTACTTCATTATTATCGAAGTTGAAATAAAATTTAATTTCCCCATTGTTACTGTCACAGTTGTCATTGTGAAAATTTCGTATCTATAAACTATTGTAATTGTAAATTTGAACGTAAGACTTGTGTATCTTAAAAGTTTTTAGGCAATTAGTTTATAGCGTATAGCTCTGGACAAAGGACTATTCTATGTAATTTGTTTATAAAAATGCTCTTGAATATTGATTTATAATTTGCCGGTAATACTGCAAACACAAACGGAATATGTACCTATGTAAAAGGTAAAAATCATCAAGGTACTCAGAATATCACATTAATTTTAATTAGACACCTAGGTACTTAGTACTTACTAAACACTTATAGGCACCTTGAGATGTTTTAAGTTAGTTAAGTTTACACTACAAACTCAAAATATTAATCGCTATAATTATAACAGATCAAAGTACCTACTCTACTTATATTATAAGGTTGACACAAGAGTGGTTCTGTAGAACCTAAATATTGTAATATGTTATATAGGTACGTTTGTAACCTATTATATAAAAGCAGAGGACACACACACACACACATAAACTAATATAAATGCAGGTTTAAGTACGCCACTGAATGAAGCACCGAAACAACAGGTGCGTATTTTTAAGAAATGTAGTCGTTTGGTTTTAAAGAAAATATTGTCCATACAAACTATAAACCAGTCTCTTTAAATATTTTGGTTAGTTTTAAGAAAAAAGTTTCAAAACTTAAGTGAAGGAAGTGGGATTTTCCAATGCCAAGTATACAGCATCTAAGACGGCATGTCTGTTATTAAATTTGAATTGTATTTATAGGTCTTATACGTATATTAAGTTGATATTATTATGATATAAACCCAGCAAAATTTTAGTTTAAGTATAACGACAAATTTCAAAAAAGAGATTCCACATTKTTTAGTAAACTGAAATTCATATTTCCATGATAATATGTTATTAAATCTGATGATTTAATACATGTGCCTAAACAATTAAAAAACTTTAAACTTTCCCTTTTTAGTTTATTCATAATAAAAAYTACACATAAATATAATATTTTGAATGGTATTTATTAACAGCTAATATACTTACGAGTTAATTTTATAAAATAAATTTAATATTTTGATATCATTTATTTCTAATCTTATGGTAAGGTATTAATTAAAATAAAATAATACGAAACCTCAATTAAAATAAAATAATTGTTATCTATTGGTGTTTAGTTATAGTCTGATAATTTAACTTGTTGCCCAACTTTTAACGTGATACATTTGGCTGTAAATATTGTGTTTTGTTTTTCGATTACGAACTAATAATTATATTAATATAATAATTGCTTCGGACAATCGAGCATTGACTTTTTATCGGTTCCACATATCCGGTTCAATATGTCTGATTTATCTGTTCAGACGAATTTTGTTCTGTTTGTTTGTTTTATTTATTTTTTTTTAAAGATAAACCATTATATTAAAGAAAACCTTTCACCCTTGCGTTGATTAACATACAATGACTTACATGTACAAGTGTACGTGTATAATATCTGTGTCCTTTCAATTTTTACGATAACCTTTATGCTGGATGTTTACTCACATACTCGATAACAAAATCCGTTGTAGTTTGACCTATAACGTTGAACCTAGTCTTATATTTTTCGGTGAATTATTTATTACAATATAGTATTATA